GTATATCCCTGTCGTGTTCTTTGATCCATCTACCACGATGAATAACAACGACCTTTTCCTCGACATTAACCGCAGATAATTCCAGTACATAACTTAGGATAAAGGTTAATCCGAGTATCTGCATTGTGACTAATATATAGACAACAGATGTGATGCTCTTTTTATTTTGCGTTATACAGGGCCCCCTTTGATACCAGTCCTGCGACTGAAGGGGTCACCCTGTTTAAATATCGATTATTATTATGTCTTAATATTAGACATCTGTAAAAATATGTCATATTTTCCTTGCATCTGTTGTCTATATACCAGTCACAATGCAGGTACTCGGATTAACCTTTATCCGGATCCTTCATGCTCTACTCACCGGAGCAAAGAGGATGAATAAATGAATGACAAAATTCAGTGAGATTTTGTTAGGAAATAAAGCTGGTAAGAAATGACTTTAACGTTCTGTTGAGCCATGACATTGTAAGAACATTACATGACGTGTGCTGCGCTCAGGCATAAATTATCGCAGGAAATCTTGGGATTCAGCCCAACTGGAAGTAACAAGGATTACTGAAATTTCTCCAGTGGGCGTCGACTACATTGAAATCTAGCATAGTTCATGGTATTTTACATGACGAACATTTCTATTTCTGCGGTCGAAAAGTCCCGGGGACAAGGTATTGCATAAGGAAAATAAACATGGCGGCCAGAGGTGCGTGTCGTCTTGGGACATGTATGTACTCAGCAATGAGTAAATCGATCTTAAACAGAGGGAGCATTTATATGCAGAGATGCCTAGTCAGCTCAAGTAGCTATGCGTCAGCTGCCTTTGGAACAAGTCGTCGATTCGCGGTTATTCTGGCTGCGAGTTGTGGAGTAAGCCTTTCTGCCGTTGTGTCGTACCGCATGTTGTTTTCCACTGCTGTAAAAGCTAGGCCGATCACAGATTCTCAGACCGGCTTAGAAACGGTTCCCAAGAAAGGAATTTCAGAATTAACAGTTACTTTATATCAATACCAGAACTGTCCTTTTTGCGGTAAAGTGCGAGCGTTTCTTGATTATCATGGCATCAAGTATGACAAAGTGGAGGTGAGTCCTTTGTGGAAAGGAGAAATCAGCTTTTCCAAGTACAAGAAAGTCCCGATCGTTATCGCAGATGACAAGCAGGTAAGACATTCAGCTGGGGGATACACTGTAGTCAACTTCTTGTATAATGTGCTGAGGATTTTACTTTTTGGACCCTAATAAAGAAAACGTTAAATGTAGAGCTCCGCCATTTCGACCACAAAATTGTGTCAAATGTTCCGAATTCATCCCCGAAAATGCCACAGATAAGGCAAGATAAGTGTGAAAAATGTACTGCAATCACTTTCCTTCATACCAGGGGGATAAAGTGACCCATAAGAAAGACTGGAAGATTTGGTGTGCACCCAGGGGACTCCTAAGTAATCTGGCATTGATGAAAGTGTACGGACACCCTCTGGATTACTTCTTGTTGGCCAGGAGGTGGGACTGGGGGATGTGAGGGGGTAAAGCTAAATGGAGTCATTAAAAAAGGGAGTGCACTTCCTGAAAAGCATCACAATAAAGTATGCATGATGATGGGGAAGGAGGGGGAGGTCAAAGTGAACATGCGCCCTTCCTTGTAAGTGCACTGCGCACTCTTTCCCTTCTACTCGCCCCTTGATCAGATCAACCACTGCAGTTTCTAAGGGGCAGATTTGACCACCTCTTCTTGGAGAGTAAGACACATTGGAAATGAAAATATGTGAAAAATTATGAGTGACCTTGAAATAATTACTCCCCCCCAAAAAACAAAACAACAAACAAACTAGCAGAAAGCAATTTGATTCAGTTTAGCAAACGGACATAGAGGTCCACACTGCATAATGTGCAAAAATCCATAACATATAAAAAAAATGACAAAACTAGGAACTCTTCCTCGGAGGAGGGAAGGGGTACTCCCTTAAATTTTGGATAGGTGTGTGCTGCAAAGGGTTTTAACCTGGCCCTATTAAGGGGTGAAGCAAACGTAAATTGATACCCTATTTAAGCTACAATTCCGAAAAATGACACTCTGCTAAGAATGGTGTAAGTGGGTCAACTTTATTTCATTTCAGTGGTGTAAGTTAAGTATCAGGCACAGAATTTGTTTTCCATTTAGCTGGGCATTTATGCACTGGGATTTTAGTTGATACAATAGACCAATTTTGATATATTAAAATTCAGCCTAAAAAAATAGACCCCAGTACGAGGCTCTGGGGAATAACTACAGAGTTTGTGGGGTTTATTCCCCAGAGACTCGTGCTGAGGTCTATTGTGTCAGGCTGAATTTTAATATATCGAAATTGGTCTATTTAGGTACCCTGTCTAAGGATCACACCGGGAACATGATGCCAACAGGGGCAACCTAGGGGCAAAAATGATATATTTAAGTATCAGGAACCTCTAAAACCATACCCTATCCCAGGGCACATAACTATATTGCCAATATATGGGAGTTACCCCCCCTCCCCCCGGGGGCACTCTTCATATGAATATTTGTATTATACATGTATTAACTTGAAGAGCTGCCAGTTTTGTCATTTTAGCTGAACTTTCTTGTAATAATAATATTCCCCACAGATCAATGACTCATCAGTTATCATTAGTGCTCTTCGCTCTTTGATGTTGGGACGAGATTCCTTGGAACAGATCTTAAACTACTACCCTGAAATGACCATGCAAGGATCTGATGGAAAGGAAAAGACAGAATATGCCAACCAGTATTTCATCATGTACAGAGAATCCCTGGACAAGCCATCCATGGAGAAAGGAAAGTAGGTTCACGAACATGTTATTATTAAGTAAAATTGAAATTATAATAATTTTACAGTTTGTCTTAGTACTTAAGGTGATTCCCTAGTAAAGCAACCTGCCATAGATTTCCGATGAAACTTGGTATGCTGTTGTTACAGCACAAGGAGATATTAACAACCTGGTAAAAAGAGGGGGTCACTGGGCTTGTTTTCACACCACAATGCTGACAAATACGGTTATTTAGGTGACTTTTGGTCCGTGCGCAACAAATAAGCTCGATTATTTTTCAATGCAGCGTGTTATATCACACAGAGTTTAACTTTCTTTGATTGTTTATTCAGCCATGTCCCAGAAAAAATGTCTTCAATTACCCTGCATTTTTTATCCTTTAAAGGAAACATAATTTGGACATGCGCTGTTGGGCCTGTTATGTCTCCCTCTGTAGTATTTATTTCATTTGCCAAAAAAGTAGCCATAGATTTCTGCTAATTTTTTTCTCAGTTATTGAGGATATTGTTCTCATTGAAATTATGAAATAAAAAGTGGGGGTCACTGTGCTTGTTTAAGAGAAAAGGAGCATTTATTTCACTATCGAGCTTAGTTTGAGGGAAATCTCTTACGTTTTGTTTTAACTATCTATCATTCAGGTTTGGAAAAACAAATATTGTTCAAACTGAACATTTTTTATTTATATCATATCTTTCACATTTGAGTAGCATTGTTTTGTATAGCTTTTACGGTTTTATAATATTTCCACAGGGCCGTTCTGAAAATCACTTTATGTGAGATCGCCCTCTGTATAAATATTATTATTATTATTATTATTATTATTATTATTGTTTTGTACACGAACACGTTCATGTGCGTGAGCTAAAGATGTGAAAATCGTGCGCAGTAGGGATGCGCAATGCAATACTAAGGAATCACCTTAACTCTTTGTAAAATAGACTTCAATATATCTACAAAAAAATCTGTCTGCCACAGTCAAATAGAGGAAACATTGCAGACATTGCAATAATAGACTGTTCACAGCCTCTCTATTTAGCGCACGCAAAACAAAATGGGAGCGAAGCAAGCGTGAAGCATGCAGGGGTGGGGGGTGGGGTTTGTGAGCAAAGGGAGCAAGAAGAAATAGAGAAAATATTTTTCTTGATCCCCAACCCCCCACCCAGTCAAGTCTTCCGTTTTGCGCTGGCATCCAGTTCTCTCACGATCCTATCTGGGCGTTCAAAGATCAAATAAAAATGCGAGAAAATAGAGGGCTGGGAACAGTCTATTGCAATTAAAGTAAGGAAACCAGTTTCTGTAAACTAGAAAGATGTTGGATTCCGAGGCAGACATCAAAGTCTCCCCTACAGTGCATACATGGGTGTTTTCTTTTTTCTTTTGCCCAGTTGGTGTAGGTTACATGGATGAATATTTTTGTCTCACTCAACTTATTTTACCTTCATAAGGTGGAAGACTTTTTCATTCTTCTGATCTAATAGAGGATGAGGTTAAAGTTTGTGCTCAGGAAAAAGTGGCCCTCATGAAGGAGAAAAATGTCTTTAGCATTGATTGACTTCGAGGAGTGTTGCTTCCCGCTCTCTTTTCCTGTATAAGATGCTTGTCCACATACACCATCTGGCAATTTTTTTTTTTTCTCATGTTCTGTGAGATCCTAACAGGTACTCACTGCAGAGCTGTATGCATCTGGGTGAAGAGAGACACTTTGAGTGTTAGGTGTCTTCCCTAGAACACACACAATGAATCTGGGCAGTATTGAAGCGTGGAACACTTTATCCAGAATCAAATGTGCAAATTAGCAGGCCACCACATAGCCTGCAGTGCAGGTGTTTTCTGTGTGTTCACAAGTTGTCGGTATTAGCTCGTGATCCAGTAGATTTGTACTCATACTACCTAGAATGCTTTTTCGCCTCTTCCCAAGCCTCTTCCAGGATGGTGCTTGCTTGATCAAAATGCACTCGCTCACCAGAATACGCCTATATTGCAGGCTAGCCGCAAATAACTAATCGCTTATTGGGACTTACTGATGACAATATTGCTTTTTTTGTGTGTAGGGAAGAGAGAAAATGGCGGAAATGGGTTGACAATACTTTTGTTCATACACTGTCACCGAATATCTACCGCACAGCATCAGAAGCTATGCAAGCTTTTGAGTACTTTACCAAGCAAAGCAACTTTGGCACTGTTGAGAAATACACAACTTACCTTGCTGGGCCAGTTGTCATGTACTTTGTTGGAAAACATGTGAAGAACAAGTACGCTTTTTTTGCGTTATCTTATAGTTTTCCTTCAACCTATTATAATAAAACAGATGATTTTTTTTTCCATGCAAGTCAGAAATTCCAAATCACACAACAATGAACTTTAGACAAAAAGGGGATCTTTGTCAATTTCATTATCAGCTGAAGTTTTGAGGTTAAACTGCAGGCATTTCTTAATTTTGAAAGAATTTAGCACTCAATGGGAGACATGTTTATGCAGGCTCGGAAATGCATTGTAGAAGGCAATCTGAAACAGCTGTAAGGTTATGCCCTATAGAACGCATGCATGTAGCCGCAAATGAATTTTATGTGGTATTGTTTTGTGTTAGTGGGCTATCTGACTTCATTGGTCTTTAATTCTTAGCCAATGACTTGTTTCTCTCTTTAGGTACAATATCAAAAATAATGTCCGTGAAGCTATGTATGAGGAGGCAGAAAAATGGATGAAGGCTGTAGGCAAGAGGAAGTTCATGGGAGGCAGTGCACCAAATCTCGCTGACTTGGTAAAAGATTTAGTATTAATTAACTTTAGATACTGTATCTTGCTCGGTCATCTGCCCACGTCCATCTTTCTTCTCACTCAGTCAATACTTATAAACGGCCTTCTGTTTTGTTCTTTTTAGGCAGTGTATGGCGTATTGAGTGGCTTGGAAGGACTCGATGCATTTCGAGATCTTATGACGCACACAACAATGAAGCCATGGTACGATCGGGTCAAACAAGCCGTACAGACACACGCTGGAGCAAACAATATCTGACATCTGACTTTGACCACGAAAATCGATATACTGCACGTGCAGAAATAAAACGCGAAAGCAAAAAACTCATCGTGAATCACGCGAAGACGGCAAGAACTAAATATTAAGTTTTGAAATCAACGTACAGCGTACGGCTTAAGCGCACATCAAGTTTGACCGAACCATGCTTCAGTCATTAAGTGAAAGCAGGCACTGTTTTTGCATGGTGCAATCCTCGCCAAATTTAACGAATAATGTAAATGTTGAATTGATAAAGACGACCAGCAGCGAATGTGCAATCCGAAAAATGTTAGGTGCTTCTAAAACTGTGCTCAGTCCTTTATAACGTATATAGTGATGATTTAAAATGTAGGAGCAGTGTATGAAATGTTAATCACGGCTAACATTGTGAAAGTGATATAACTTGGCTTTCCAGAAAAGGGATATTAAGTCTCAGGCTTCACTCTTTTCATTCATCTTATTTAGTTTGAGGAAGTGTGATGATTACCCTACTGATTTATTGAACGAGTAACGAACGAGTTTACTTAATGAACTTGTGCAGAACGGAGAGAGCCAAGAAGCTAGTCGCATAGAAGCTTCACCATTAAGTATTTCATCCTTATTAAAGGAATATGAAGAACTGGTTAACGGGTCAGCGTACAATCTTGAGAAATGCAGCCAATATCTTAACATGTAAAGTTTAGTGAAATACAGTTTGTGAAGTTTTGAAATCGTGATTGTCATAATCAATACAGAGACCTCATAGACCCGTATAGCAGTATGTGCATTCTAAACCGCTGCATGGTAGGGTCGGTTGGGCACTATGCAACTACCAGAACGTTCGATCTCCTAAAAAAGACTGCTTATTTCTAAACAACCGTCGTTGAATAACCTTACCTCTTTTGCTCTAATTTCTGCTCATTATTTAGAGAGGGTTTGCGTTGCTCATGGAAACTAGGAGACCAGGAACACCTACTTGAAAATTCTCTTTCGACTTACTCCTGGAAAATCCAGGAATCCTTTTTTTTTGTTTTTTTTCCTGGAATCATTTTTTCAAAAACAATAAAAACCCAACCAGGATGACTCAAAGCCAACGGAAATCAGTAAATCGATGCAATGATTCCTTGTGAATGTCTGGAAGAAATAGGCAAAGCTTGTCTGAAGCAGTTATTTTAGTGTCCACCAACAGACTTAAATCGCCACCCAAATCTTCTCTAGACAGCACAGGTTGAAGGGTAAACAAGTATTTATATATAAACACCAGTCAAGACCATTCTTTTGAAAGTACGTCAATCCCTTTATTCAGTTCAAAGTTCTATTGTTAAACTTTAGAACACAACTTGTAAAGTCAATCCTGTTTCTTTTGTGAATCTTAGTGTCCTTGTGTTTCCTTTATCATTTCTTTGTATTTTATTTGTCACGCCATAAAAGTTTTCTGTATTTGTTTTTTGTTCCGCCATAAGTTGTAAGTATTTGTTTTTAGTTCCGCCATAAGTTGTAAGTATTTGTTTTTAGTTCCGCCATAAGTTGTAAGTTTTTCGTTTTTTGTTCCGCCATAAGTCGTAAGTATTGGTATTTTTGCACTTGGGTTTGTTTCTTGTTGCACTTGGTTTCTTAACTTTTCTTTGGTAATGTTTTGTCCTTCTTTCACTTTTTTTTTCTTGAGATATGTTATCCTCTCAAACTTCGTCACATTATTTCAATATAAGATATCTGGAAGTCTTCAAATTGCATCAATAGTATTCATAAGTTTCAAAATGGTTAAGTCGATATTTTTGCAGTTGTATAAATTTCCTCCATCTCTGAATATTCAAATAATAGTAAGTTGTTTTTCATTTCGAAGCATAAATCTTTTTGCGATGTTAATCCTTTTCTCAAAACCTCATTTTCCATTTTTTTTTTCAATTTTTCTCTTTTTCGTTTTTTTTAGTATTTTTTGAATTTTTTGTTGTCACTGTCTTGTCACTCTAGACAGAAAGCAAAGGTGGAATAAAAAAATAAGGGAAGGAAAGACCTCACATAGCTGGTGGTTTTCTTGCGGAATGAAAACATGAATCGTGAGAGGAATGGAGAGGAGACAGACATTTCCTCTCCGTTCTCCTCGCAGACTTTTTTTCATCCACGCAAGAAACACCACCAACTATGCAGGTTGGTGTAGACCTAACTAGATGTTTGTCTACTGAAAAAAGCTGGACTCCTTCAGCTTGTGAACCACGTCAGCAATTTCCTTCTTCACGAGCAAACTGCTGGGATCGGACCCTGAATTCTGTTGATACCACACCAGTTGGAATCGTTCCTCCACATGGTGACAGAAATCTTGCTGCCGGAAAAGAAGGATATTTTATAAGGACTGAATTCGTTGAATTTCTTGTTCTGTCAAACGATAATCGATTTGAAACGCTCCTGCGAAGGGACTAATTACATGAAAAAGCACAAGATGGTCAAACGGCTTTTCTGCCTGACAGAATAGTCTAAAATTCAGAACTTAAATGATTAAATTATCGACCGTATTTTGTTCACATATACTCATAAGTGTTTCTGAAGTAACGTCAGATGATCATTAAGCATGGGATCGATAAAACATTTCTCTCTTTTCATCCTTGAGGTCCATTTTTGCCGTTTCATTTTTTTTCGCGAAAAATCTTTGTTTACTACATTGTTCGGATTCTGTAGCAGAGTAAAGTTTTTAAATTGTCTACAGAAAATATTGTTCCACAAATTCACAGGATTATTTGTTTTCGACGTGGACTTCTATTATTCCTGGGTATTATTTTCATAGATCTTTGTTTTCAGACATGCTGTCGATCACAGCCGAATATTTAAACAATAGTCTCGTCTCCTCATTGGACGATTTCTATGATATTTATAGATCTAGAGCTGACGTCAAACCATTTCCGCCGCGTTGGGTCTTTCGGTTTCGCTTTGGAAATATCGCTAAGGATAAGTAGCGCAGTCCTATAACAACAAGAACGGCCATTTTGTCAATCTTACGGTGACTTTAAAAATAGACTCTAACAAGCTTATAAATTCCATTTTAAGCTTACCCAACTTCCCAGTTCTGTCATCCGTGAGCTGCACTCTTCAGCCGCGGTGGAACACATCTCCATCAGTTGGTGATTCTGGTGACGTTTCCCGTCCGCTGAAGCTGCCACAATAATCTCCCCGGCGATGACAATCAACATAGTGAGTTTACTCCAAGGAGAAGAAAATTCACTTCGATCAATCTCTTCTTCGAACTCATTCAACACCTTTCTGATGCTCTTTCCTGATTCAACCAGTGATCTAATGTTTGTGATATCAAATCCTTCTCGGACAGTTTCCGTCAACAAATATGCAGCTGTTGATTGCACAGAGTCCGAGCGAAAGCATGAATCCAATCCTAGCCTCTTTCTCGTGTAGAAATCCAGAAGAACCGTTAGATTCCTTTTCATTTCAAACTCGGTCAACAGTTTAACAAGATCCAGGCGTTGTATTTGACGCAGACCTTCAGTCAACCTTCCTACGTCTTCCCACGAAATCATTCCAGCGTGTTCGAGAGAGGTTAGTGTGGTTAAAATTCCAGTGTCTTCCACCGAAATCAGACCAGATCTAGAGTAGTAGAAACGGAGCTCTTGCTGTTGTTCTCGATCCAGTTTGCGAGCAATCTGAAGGAGAATAGCAGCGTAAGCTTGTCGGAGTTTACTGTTAGTTCCCTCGTTAGTCGTTAGTGACATGGCGGTGTCATCTATGGCGGCAGAGAGACCGAACGAAGGCATACCTGACCTTTTATATTCAGGAATTGCAAAGCAACCATCCTGATTGGGCATTGCTATCTTAAAAAAAAAGAGAAAGAAGAAACCAACATAGGCCCGCAAGGCGTACGGAAGTAAATTTTTGGACGATGAAGTCGATGATGATCATGCGCAGTTCCTGTGGCCTCCCCTGAATTTGCTTTCTGCACTTTTCTAGATTGAAAGCGTTCTTTTCTCCCGTGTACTCTATGCTGAAGGGTCCATATGTTATCAAACAGTTTGTTTTTCAATGTGTTAGGCCGTTAAGTTTCGATCGGCGAGTGGGTTTTTGAGGACTGTTGTAAAGGTATAAATCCTGAGTCGAAGTTAGAAGTCATCTTAGGTAGTAAGATTTTCATCCGATGATTCCTCCCTTTTTTATTTTATCTATGTAGATACAACGTTCAAATCTTGAAAAGCACTACGGCAAATGTACGAAATGCTTAAACGATTAGTTTCTCGACTTCAACGTGAAGTTCCAGGGATCCAGGTTTGATGATATGCGTTACAACTATAACCAGGTCAGAGAGGACTACATACGAGTTACAGATATTGTGTACGGGTGTGTGTTGGGGGCGAAGGGTGATAGGTGTGGCCTGTAGGTTTTGTCAACTTGGTTAGATTTCCGTGACGTTAGAGTCAGTTCTTACTGTTACGTTAGCTAGGCGTTTCAAGCGATCAGCTGTGAAAATCACCACAAGTTTGCTGATTTAGGCAAATGTCATCGAGAAGTTCTGGTACTGTCGATTTGTGTAGAGGAAGGGATTTGTTACACTGTCAGTATTCTGGTATATTTTCTAACTTGCCTGCTCACGAAGCACAGCAGTCACAGTTGCGTTAAAACCTAAATTTCCGAACGACTTTCTGGTCTATACTTCGGGCACTGGAGTTGAAAAGGATTCCATGATCAATCATCTGTCAAGGCAGTGCGACGGTGCAGAACAAGCTAGTGAAGACTGGCGTTCGACCTACAAAGCCTATGTACCGAATGTGCCCCGCCAATAATGACCAAACTTTCAAACTGCTCCATCGTCCTCCATCTATATAAATTACATGCAGTATTGCAGAATACTCAGGGAAACAAAAACATTGTCAACGAAACATTTTAACGTCACATCCATTTTATTGAAAGTTATAAAGTTGAACATTTACATGACAACCTTCATACGACAATCCATGTTTGGGTTTTTTATAATTAGCTCTTATTAACCGAGCTGGAGGTCTGTATGGGACAATCTTGACCGAGGTCGTGAGACCGAACGCAGTGAGGTCTGTACACGAGACCGAGGTCAAGATTCTCCCATACAGACCGACTTAGCTCGGTTAATAAGATGTTTATTATATGGCAAAGAAAAAAAAATTTAATTCGTTTAATGTAACTGGTTTGCTGACATTTTGCTTGCGAACGGCGATGAACTTAACTTAAACCTGCCGAAATTTGCTTGCTCTCTTTACCTTTTTTTTTTATGTCATCAGGCTTTTTGGCACTTCCATAAATGATTGAGAAGAAAATAAAAGAAAATGGTGAACATTTTTG